TAAATAAAAGAAAATATGGTTTCACATGTAGGAATATAGAGAAGGATGCAAGAAAACTTACATGTAATATTCTTCAGCAGTTTTGTAATTACCTTGCTGCAAGTAAGCCCAGGCCAAGTTTCCTAGTATTCTGCATTGATGAAGGACCTAAGTCATCTAATTATGTGCAAAAACTTTGTGGTAAAATTAGTAAGAAGAATGAGAAAGCTGTGATATTCACCTTGATCTCTCTTGTTCAACAGTAATTTGAACCTTTTTCCCCTGAGATCTTGCGGTCTTTGTCCTCCTTCCACCAAAAGCTATACCTTCGTCAATGTGTTTCAATTTGGATTGAAGCATTTCAATCTCTTCTTCAATCCTCCCCGCCCTCTGCAAAACCGGTAAATGTAAATAAAAAACTGAGCAATGCATAAACATACACACACACACAAAAAGAAGTTTGATATACCTGAAAATGTTTTATCATGATAGATATTCAGAAATGCATCTATAATATTAATCATTCACTCTTAGCCTCTTAGTCACCTCAACATAGTGTGAAAAAAAAAAGGTACTCAGATTTGAGCTCTAAACTTTCTAAAAGTGCTGAACATCACTTGTAGACTACTTTTATATCTCCTACAGTGACGGAGTTAAAGCAGCATATAAAAGTGCTAATGAAATATAAGTAACTTGTTGAAGAAATGGAGGTGCTTTTACCTTGTACAGTTCAACTAACACATTGTTAAGAGATTCCTGAGAGTCATGCGGGCAGAGATGACGAAAAGATTTGATAGCTTCAATTGCCTCCTCCGATCGATTCAATTGTTTCATCACAATTGCCATGTCTTTCAAGGCACTATCAACTCGATCCCCCGCATTTATAGCAGCCCAGAAGAGGGATATGGCTTTGCTTGGATCCTTTTCTATCAACTGCATTTCAAGAAATGAAAATTGATAAAATACATATAACAGTGAAAAAAAAAAAACCCCCAATCATGCTTTAACCAAAAAAAATTCAAATGGTTAAGTTTTAAAGATCAACTCTAGTAACTTTTATCAGAACTCCAAAGTGTGATCACTAAATCTTATACATGCTTTGAGTTATACATTTACCCAATACTTCCCAGCCCATTTAAACAGTGATTTCACAGGACAACCAATCAACTCAGCTTGTATTAACAAGAACAAAACTCAACCCATTTACTCACACAAGAACAAAACTTCATAATTCATTTCCTTCTTCCTTGTCTTAACAAATTCCCCAAAACAAATGGGTCCAAGATAATCTGCATTAATGTAATCAACAGAATTGGTAATAAGTTCTTGCTTTCCATAAAAAATAAGTTGAGTCAGCTTAAGATACAAATCCCAAAACATACAGACCAATTAACAACAAAGGAAGACAGTGGCTAATCTTGAAAAAGAACCAAACGAACACTGAATGCCAAATTACTAAAATCAAATTTACCCATAAAAATTCAAACTTGCTTACCTGAACTTGTTTGGCTCTGACGTACGGAGAATCGCCAACAGGCACTTTATGCATGACATGAAAAAGATCGCCTCCGTCTGAAGGCGACACTCTCTTTCTCTCCGACATTGGCACCATCGGAGGGTTTGGCGGCCCTGACTTCCATGTCGGAGGCGGCGTCGAGAAGCCTCTGGTGTGGAAACTCTTGTCTCTGGTCCACATTGCCTACTTTGAGAGAAAATCTATAAAATTACTCAGGAAAAAGTCAATTTTCTCGAGAAAATCTTGAGACCCTTTTCTTGAATCTCCAAGAAAGTGTTTTTAGTGTTGAGAAAAATGTTCAGACTCGTTTCTTGATCGAGCAGAAAGCGTCTTCTTGTAGAGGCAAGGAAAACCAGTAGTTTGTCCTGCCGGGAGATTGTTTATATTATTATGGGTTTTCTGGGAATTGGTGAGAAAGTGGGAGAAATCAGAGAGAAAGTGAAAGAAAAAGTAGAAAGGTGAGCGAAGGTGAATGAGAGAAAGTAGACGCAAAAGAAAAAAGAAAAATAGCCGTTTATTTATAATTACTAGCCGTTAGGATCAGGGACGCATTCGCACGTGTGTTTGGCACGTACCAAACTGGGTTTTTTCGTTTTTGTTTTTGTGTTTTTGCAGCTTTGGTTGATATAATAAGAACTGATCGATGAAAACAAAAACAGAGAAAAATATTTCATGAAAAGTCATGGTTTTACAAGTATTTTTTTCATCACAATTGCCATGTCTTTCAAGGCACTATCAACTCGATCCCCCGCATTTATAGCAGCCCAGAAGAGGGATATGGCTTTGCTTGGATCCTTTTCTATCAACTGCATTTCAAGAAATGAAAATTGATAAAATACATATAACAGTGAAAAAAAAAAAACCCCCAATCATGCTTTAACCAAAAAAAATTCAAATGGTTAAGTTTTAAAGATCAACTCTAGTAACTTTTATCAGAACTCCAAAGTGTGATCACTAAATCTTATACATGCTTTGAGTTATACATTTACCCAATACTTCCCAGCCCATTTAAACAGTGATTTCACAGGACAACCAATCAACTCAGCTTGTATTAACAAGAACAAAACTCAACCCATTTACTCACACAAGAACAAAACTTCATAATTCATTTCCTTCTTCCTTGTCTTAACAAATTCCCCAAAACAAATGGGTCCAAGATAATCTGCATTAATGTAATCAACAGAATTGGTAATAAGTTCTTGCTTTCCATAAAAAATAAGTTGAGTCAGCTTAAGATACAAATCCCAAAACATACAGACCAATTAACAACAAAGGAAGACAGTGGCTAATCTTGAAAAAGAACCAAACGAACACTGAATGCCAAATTACTAAAATCAAATTTACCCATAAAAATTCAAACTTGCTTACCTGAACTTGTTTGGCTCTGACGTACGGAGAATCGCCAACAGGCACTTTATGCATGACATGAAAAAGATCGCCTCCGTCTGAAGGCGACACTCTCTTTCTCTCCGACATTGGCACCATCGGAGGGTTTGGCGGCCCTGACTTCCATGTCGGAGGCGGCGTCGAGAAGCCTCTGGTGTGGAAACTCTTGTCTCTGGTCCACATTGCCTACTTTGAGAGAAAATCTATAAAATTACTCAGGAAAAAGTCAATTTTCTCGAGAAAATCTTGAGACCCTTTTCTTGAATCTCCAAGAAAGTGTTTTTAGTGTTGAGAAAAATGTTCAGACTCGTTTCTTGATCGAGCAGAAAGCGTCTTCTTGTAGAGGCAAGGAAAACCAGTAGTTTGTCCTGCCGGGAGATTGTTTATATTATTATGGGTTTTCTGGGAATTGGTGAGAAAGTGGGAGAAATCAGAGAGAAAGTGAAAGAAAAAGTAGAAAGGTGAGCGAAGGTGAATGAGAGAAAGTAGACGCAAAAGAAAAAAGAAAAATAGCCGTTTATTTATAATTACTAGCCGTTAGGATCAGGGACGCATTCGCACGTGTGTTTGGCACGTACCAAACTGGGTTTTTTCGTTTTTGTTTTTGTGTTTTTGCAGCTTTGGTTGATATAATAAGAACTGATCGATGAAAACAAAAACAGAGAAAAATATTTCATGAAAAGTCATGGTTTTACAAGTATTTTTTGATGGATCGTATAAATATAGATATATATATATATATATATAAACCAAAAACAGTATAAATTTGTTTTAAACAAAAGTGAAATGCTATCTTTTTCTTTTTTTCTTCTCATCCCGCAACACAGATAGTATGATGATGGTAGTCATCTATACTTTATACGCCACCATTAAAGATCATCTATACGAAAAAAAAAACATGAAAAATTTGAAAATGGTTAAATTATCTAATTATTTTTAAATAAAACTAGCCCATTATATTGATTAAACACTCAAATTATAACAATCAAATCAATATTATGAGATGGGAAAGAGAAGTAACCACGTTAATTGGATCGTGTAGTGTCAGGCCTTACTTAATTGGGCCGAACTTGTGCAATGTTCGAGTCAGCTCGGTCTGTTTGACACTTCTAAGTAACATGAATCTAATGTAAAGTTGCCATAAAACAACTCTATACATATGTTGGAGTTTTGTATATTGAATTTAGTTTGTGTTCTTATTATAGAGAAATGTGATAGATTGCATTTATAATTCAAGAGTCGTCAGCCATAATGATCAATACAAATAACCACATATGGTTAATACAAATACTGAAGCACAATAACCACAAATGATTAATCCAAATATGGAAGCACAATAACCATAAAGGGTTAATCCAAATACAATGGCCAAAAAAAAAAAAAAAACACCGTCAACATGAAATGCACAAAGTATACCTCCACTCATAGCCACACATAGCCAAAGAAATTCAAGCATAAAAGCCACAAGCCTGGAAAAACCAGGCAAAGGCCTCAGCGCGCACACACACACAAACAAAAAAAACAAACAAACAAGCCAATCTGCCACCATACTGTCCCCAAGATAGCCAAGCAGCTAACAAACTCAACCAAGATGCCCAAACACCAAAATCGCCAAAAGCTGATAGAAGCCCTAGGGAGGATAGGGGTTGAGGGAACGAGAGGGAAAAGGAGGAGAGGGGGGAAGATCTGGGAGTGGAGGAGGGGAAGGAAAGGGAGTAGTAGAGGGATGGAGGCCACCAACCCCAAGGGGGAGAGGCTACTGAAACTTTTCTCACCTTGGTTTGATTGTTAGTTTCTTTCCATTTTAGGCAGTACATTCTAAATTGTAGACAACATCTTTTGATAATAAGTAATATGTAAGTAGCTTGTAGCTCTCTTGGTTAAGAACATTTACCTCTACACCTGAGGTCCTAGTTCGATTCTCCTCTTTCCCCAATATCGTGCGTATATATATAATATAATTTAATAATAAAAGATAATAATTTGATACTGTTTTTACCAAAAATATATTATATTATTGTTAAAGATATCGTTACAATATGCAAATACACTCACAACAAAATTATATCATCACCTTAAAGTTAACAATAATTAACTATCCAACATCACAAATACATATACTTTGATTATCCTCCTAATTGATAAAAAATAATCACTTGACAGAGCGATGTTCTACACTACTCTAATGTACAGGAAGTGTGATCAAACTCAGATAAAGAGGCTGAGTACACTGTCTTGCCCAACACTTCTTGTTGATCAAAAATATCAACTTTTATGACCTCAATCTCAGCCACCACCCCAAACTCTCTGATCCCAATAGCCTCGGCTGCCTCAGCTATTTGCATCACATACTTCTCTATCATCGGCCCGACACGCTCGCACACGCGGTGGTTGATACTCAAACTTGCGAGCGCATTGCGAACGAAGAGCTGGCGCAGTGTGGGCGACACTATGACGCGGGGAGGCACAATGAGGCTCTTTGTGGTCAACAATGGAGAGACCACGTCATCGAGCAAAGTGTGGGACGCGACGTCGTTTTGGTAAGTTAGGAGTTCGAATTGGAGCCTCTGCCTCGTGCGGATTTCAAGATTGGAGGTGGCGCCTTTGGTCTGTTGTGATGAGTTTTGGTTCTTGAACGAGGACATGCGAAGATGGTAGCTCAACTTGAACACCATTGAATTGATGACCAATTAATAGTTTCTTGAAGCTTTAATTTACTCAAACAGAGAAAGATCAATGTTCAAAGATAATATTGGCTGTGAAGTTGAATAATAGAGCAGAGCTTTGCCATATATAGAATGTCCAAGCCCTAAACCTAGTTATGTTTTAGCTTGGAAGATTAAATAATCCTATTTCAATTAGGAAATTAAGCCAACCATGTTTAATTATTTCATTCGTTTATGAATCGATCATGTGAGCTCGAAATGCGTTATATGATCGGACTAATATGATTAGTCATTCAATATAGAGTTGAATCTGCTGAATGTTGTGTATTATTCGTAAACTTATCTTGTATCCTAATCCTAATACATTTAGATTTCCTTGTAATCTAAGAATTTTTGCGTATCAAGTAGGATTAGGAAAGTCTTAGATTTCCTAGTAATTTTAAGATTATTGCGTATCAAGTAAAATAAGGAAAGTCTTGTATATGTTACTTGTTTAATGAAAGATTGACTAAAAGTTACAGGCAACTTGAGCTAAAAGTTACAGTCGATTACTAATTTAACATGTCAATTGTTTCATCATGTAAATATATGATTTAGTTAATGCGAAAATAAGAAACTAGCTAGAAAATTTGAAATAATCATATTCCAATTAGGAAACCCACGGATCCAATGTTTTTACTTGGGAATTAAGTAACCTTCCGAAAATAAATGTCGAATTTCGATGCCTTTTAGTACAAATAGAAAACCACTCAAACAAGCTGATATAAGGTTTGGTTAGTCAAATTATTGTGAAACTGAAAATTCCCATGTAAGCAAATGACATCTTCCACAAGGGCCACTCAAATATGAATCAAGATTGAGACAAAAATTACAATGTGTTCCTACTTTAACGAAGAAATTCCAATGAAAAACATCAGATTTTCATGGAGATTTTAATACACGCTTCTACTTCTACAAATTCAGCTCACAAGATGCAAATCACAAAGCATAAACAGAGGGATGATATGAAATATGAGAAACTGTTTTCCAGGGAAAACATCTAAAATTTTGCCTGAAGACTGCTAATTACGGTTTTGTCCACCTGGAAGGACTTGGCCAGAATATCATCTGAGATTGAAGGATTGGCTCCAAAAACAGCATTGGCAATGGTGTTGACTCCAGGGTTTTGGCTGCTCAAAGAAGAGAGTGAAACGGCATTTCCTTTTCCCACATTCTGCTGGAAGTGAACTAGCCCAACAGGGAACACAAACACATCACCCTTGTAAAGGACCTTTGAGATGAGCTTGTTGTCAGGGTTTGAGGTCACAAAGCCAACATAGAGGCTGCCTTCTAGGACGGTCAAAATCTCGGTGGCCCGGGGATGAGTGTGGGGAGGGATAACACCCCATTTTGCATAGTCGATGCGAGCCAGAGAGATGCCGAGGGTGTTGAGTCCTGGAATTTGAACCACATTGACTGGGGTGACTTTTCCACCAACAGGGTTTGAGGTGTTGCCTGGGATGTGAAGTCCACTGAAGAAGAAATGATCAGCCTGTGCTAGCTTGGAGTCCAAGCAGGGTAGCCCATTCACTCTGGTCACTGTGATGCACAAATTTAATTGACAAGACAAACACACAAAGTTAAAGTCATTGGACGATTAAGTATAGGAAGAAGAAGAAGGATACATATTTTCAAAATGCATACCAAATAAATCGAAAATTTTGAATTTTCGACACCAACCTGAGCTAGTAGTGTCAGCAACACAGAAATCTTGCAAAGGACTAGGCTCAAAAGCAATGACCAGAGCACATGTCATAGCTAGGAAAGTAGTCAACAGAAGAATTTGGTTTGCCATGTTAATTTTTCAGCTTTTTCTATGAGATTATCAAGTTATATATTGCAAATTAAAATTTGAAAGTAGTGAGAGAGAGAGAGAGAGAGAGATGTGAAGCAATTGATGTATGAACTTTCTTATTTATAGAGGAGCAAGAACTGGGTGATGGTTCTGAATGAAGAACAAGCAAGCATATAAAAGAAAATGCTGCCGGCCTTGCTTTACGGACGGTGGAAAAGTATTGAAAGTTCTGGTAAAGCCAAATGTTAACAAGGAGGCACAGGCACATCCATTAAATCCAAAATTTGTTCAAGGATATAATCCTTTCTTAATTTTCTATTCCTTGTGTGAATGTGATGTGAATTTAGAATTTAGAATTTCTTCATGCATACATATGTTAAACATATTAAGCCAAAGCATCTTGCTAAAAATACATCTGGGTCCAATTTATTTGACTTGACTTCAAAGAAGGATGTTAAGAATTTGTAAATTGTAATAGCATCTTGCTAAAAAGACGCAGAAGCAAGCTTATAGAAAATCTGAAGCACCTTTTTATTTTCTTTTTGTTTGCGCACCTTGCTCCGGCTGGGGGCTCACATGGTCAGAATTATCAGTTATATTGCCTTATATTTTTGTCCACTTGCAAGACCAAGTCAATGGGAGAAGGATGATTGTTAATGTAACTGAATTAACATTATCTTAGCCTGAGGCATAGAGGAACTGGCTACATCTGCATATGTAGGGTTTAAAACATGTTTTTTTTTTCCTTCTTATCTTTTCCGTGTAGATATGAGAATACGCAAATACATTCTGTACCTACACAGCCATGCATGATCATATAAGAAAAATTCTTTCATGCAACTCTGTAAGCCTAACAGGCCACAGACAACAAAAAAATAAGTCATAACGTTGCATAACATTGATTTGTCAGAGAGCATATCTAAGACGTATTACCTATTTCTGAGAATAGATTTGCTCAATGCCATTAATCCGCAGTGAGCATCACCACCACATTATGCGTTTGTGGATGAGTTTGATTTAACTTACCAACTCATCAAACAGCACATAACGCGCTGGTAATCTATTCTCCTTAATCCCTATTGCTAGTTGCTAGTTGTACTATTACATTCCCATATAGCTATGTCATAATGTTCCAAATCTGCAAGTTGGAAGATCATCTCCCTGAGATAAGGATCCCCCCCTTCAAAACCTGGTTTTAAGTCAGACAGATCCACCGAATCCAGTTCTAAGTCAAAATAAAACATTGTTTCATGGGCTCTGAAAATGCTGCACGAGTGTCTCAGTTTGTCAGAGCAGATCTTGAGCTATCGTTGCTGCTCCATTCCCATATAACTTTGTAAGGATGTTCCATATCTGAAACCTCTGGAAGAACATCTTCCTGACGTACAGGTCCCCTTCTAAAGACAGCAATCTGGGAAGCAAAACCTGGTTCTGTACCACCAGATCCCCCAACCCCACTGAACTCAACACTGTAATTGTGCCTCATGGCCAATTCAGTTGCCCAGCAATTGAACTGTTCTCTTGTCCACTCGAACTTGTGGTCATGGTTACGAAATTTACATGATTGTGCTTGATTTTTGTCTTCAGGATCATCTTCCTGGCTTGACAAATTGGATTTCTGGAGTATCACATTGTATTCATAATTTGGAGTGGAGACAATAAGAACCCTTGGACGAAATAAACTCAGTACCACATTGCCAAACTCAGATGCTTGATCTTCCTCCATATGCTCTATGACCTATGATTTTCCAATCAGAGTAAGCAACAATAAAAACCAATTACTAAAGAACAGGGACATCATACTTGATTTCAGTGCAAACAGGAATATTTACAGGAGGCATAATCTGGTAACAGTGATGAACATTAATGGCAAGCCAGAGCATGTGTGCAATTCAAAGGCTACTGGCCAGTTTGCAGTTACCCAACACAACCAAATATCAGTGACATTGATAAGCATTATGTAGCATGTAGAATACTAGTCTTCAAGTAGTACTAAATGGGAAAAGATGAGAACAGATAAAAACTTGTATAGTCAAATTCAACTGCTAAGACTATAAAAGAGAAAGAAACCTTAGACAAATTGGCATACATGAAAAGATAAATTGAAAGGTAAATAGTAAGGACTGAGTATGAGACTTAAATAGATACAAAGTAAAATAAATCAATCAATCAAAGAGTTTGGTGTCACTTCGTTTTTTTCTTTTAAGTGAAAAATAAATGGCAATCTTCTTCGTAAAGCCAGGTCTTAAAGAAAAGAAGAAAAAAAAGGGTAAGAGGTTACCTCTAAGCAAGTTCCAATATCAAATCCACTCAATCGTGAATCAAAAGCTGTAATTGAACCGTCATACAGAACTGCAGAATTTATGGCTGACATACTGGCATCTAATTTGGAATGAAGTATCTGCAATGTTAAACAGAAAATTTAGATTCTTGTCTAAGACAAGTGGTTAACTAAACAAACTTTATGGAAGAAACAAACAAAGAACATCATCTCAAATCAGCATACTCCGTACAGAATATTTTGTTTCTTGTACCCATTATGACCATGCAAACAGGTTCACCCAAACGAAGGATCCTTTATAATAAAGTAAAACCACTATTAATGTTCGTGACCATAACTTAGAATATTACTTTTAACAAAGTGAATCACAAGTCTACCAGGAAGGTAAGATGTCACACTGATTCCCTCAATATTTTGGCTACACCAAAGCTTTCTGGTGACAAATTCCCTACCTAGCAACTACCTATCAGTATTCGTCCTGACACACTCATCATATTATTTCTTCCATAAATGCTTACAAGCAAAATTCAAAGTTCTATAATGATTCAGACCTTTGCCGCACGGGTAAGACTCTTCTGTGAAATGTCAACACCAGCAATTTTTTCCAGAGAAGTTGGATAGTTTAATAAAGAATCCAACAAACTACCAGAGCCACATCCAAAGTCAACCTGCAACGATTACAAAGGGCATGAAATTGACTCTATCACATACACCAGAGTATTATTATTTTTTTCTTTTCAGATTGATAACAAGTTTAAAGTCAGAAGATTTTAAAAACAAATTTACCAAAGTAGTGGCGCAAGATTCTTTGATGCTTTGCACCGCATATTCGACACGCTGTTTTGAAAGTGGAGGGCTGAAAAGAGCCTGCTCCATTCTATCCTCCAGAGGTTCTGTTACCTGCAACAAAGTTATAGTGTACTCCAAGAAGCAGGTCTCTGAAGAACAGTAACACCCAAAAGAAATGAATCACCTGTAAGATCTCAGTATAAACAGTTTTTAAAAGAAATATAACAAGAAGAACAACATAGGTTCAGTTATTGATGAATATCAATAACCATGTGTTTCTTTTTTTTTTTTCACAAATAGTTATCATTGCATGTCCAAATTGTCCAAGTGAAATCCTTTTTGACAGCCTGAATGAAACATCATGCATCTAATTGTTTCTGAGAAACTCACTTGAAGACAACAAGGAAAGCATCCTAGCAGAATCATCAGCTGCAGCTAAAATCAACTCTTGATGGGGCAAATCCATACTGGAAAAAGCAGACTGACCAACAGTCATTTGCATGACAACTGACTCGAGATGTGGAATCACTGCTCCAGATGCTATCTCAAACTCAAAGTCATCACTACTTTCCAGAAGTTCTTTCTTATGTTCATCTTCAGTCACCAAAGATACGGAATAACTTACAGATGATAAGGATCCATTAGATGGAGTAACACCAGAATCTGGTCCTTCTATATTTAGAGAACGAAATTCATGTCCAGGCAGAGCATATGACGCATTCACAGAGTTGGAACATACTGATTTTCCTTCTTCAGTTTCATTACGCCCAACATTATGAATATGTTGGCACAGCATAAATACTTTAATAAAGTTTTGGGGATCAAATCTAATGTTAAGACCATCAGCAGAAGCATTAAGTCTCTCCAAAGGCACAGTTGGATCTCGAAAATATGCATTTAACCATAACAGAACTTTCAAAGAAACATTCTGGATGGAATCGCTCTGTTTCTTAAAAGAATCTTTCGGTGAGCACTCTAAAATAAAATCCTGAAATTTAGAAACTATTTTCACTTCACATCTAAAGCTACCTCCGGATTCAACCGAGTCCTTTACGCCAGCAGCAACAACACAGCCATTTGCATATTGTGCCTCTTTCACAGGCAAGTCTGTCACCTTTAACTTCTTGTGTGATTTTGGTGACTCGGATGATTCTTCTAGAGTGCTTTGAGTAGAGAAGACGGGTTCAAGCCGGTGCTGACGGCAGAATGTACAGAGCATCTCCCTTGGAAAGGAACCCTTCCATTTTGCATTGGTAGTAAATGCCAAAGGTAACTCAGCTGCAAGTATTGCCCCTCTGGACAACTTGTAAATTCCACCTGGTGTCTTGCCAATGACCATCCTGTAGACTTAGATTTAAGTATGATTGAATAATGCAATGTTGTACACTTTATTAATGAATGATGCAGCATGAAAAAGGGAGTAAGGTTCCTCTTTTCTTTGTAACTTTTCAGGAATAGTTAAACATTATAAAATAAAATAAAAATACTAAAAACACCGAAGAAGTGGATCTTTTCTTCCTTAAGAGAAATCCCAAATCCCATATGTTACTGAAGTGTGTCAGAATTTTGACACAATCAAGCACTGACAACAGAAGAATCCTTAAAAGAATTAGGGAAATTAAATTTGTGGAGAAGTCTTTTAAACAGAATATGAAGGTGAACAATCAATATAGGATAAGTCAGACAAGACCTGTGATATGATTGCAGGGTTACATCTTCATAGAAAAGGTCTTTGGACCTCCACGTGTATCCAATGGATGCTAAAATAGCGTCACCATATATATCTTGGCCAGACAAGTAACTTGCTCTTGCATTCAAAGATCCTTCAGAGTTACAAGCTTCTTTGGCATTTAGAAGATCTGAAGACATATCCAACAGATATTGCTTGGGAGCAGCAAAGTACAGTCTTGTCTCAGAGGAAGCCTTACCTATAGGCCTGTCAAAGAATTTGTACCACACATTAAGCACAGAAGGTTACAGAGTCAACAAACTGTCCTCCCAGATTTTTCCCCATTATCCCTTCCACTTACCTTGAGATCAGAACGTCAGAAGCTTTCGATAACCCAAGTTGTTTTGCAATAACATCCAGGAAATATCCAGAAGATGAGACATTAAGGATTACTCTTTCAACAGTCTTCTCTAGTGAAGATGGTACATTTATGGCTTCAACTGAAAAGATTTCTGTCGAACCTAATTGCTGGATAGATGATGACTCCACTGTTTCAGGAGCATATGGATTTCGCCTCCTAAACCAGAGCTCTTCCTCAGAAGTAGAAATAAGTTCAGATAATCTAGCAGCAGCCCTCACAACATACGGTATAACCAAGAAAGGATTGGACTCCACCTTAGGATCAAGGGATTTACACATATTACAAATTGTTGCATCAAAGATGGCAATGACAGAAGCAGGAATCTGCCCAGAAAGATCACCTTCTCTCTGCAAAGCTGCTCTGAAGTGACCACTCAGCGGATGAAGAGTTGAAAGGAACTACAAAAGTGAAACATACGAGAAAAGGTCAAAGTGATAACTAAAAATTTCAACGCATCAATAATCTCATAAACTTATAAAGCAATCAAGGTCAAGAAAAAGTATATCAGCTAATTCACCCTCTTTTCCACATAACCACAGCAAACTGAGGCATTGACAACAAAAGCAAAATTACAAGTAGAGAAGAAAGTGAGAGAGAGAGAGAGAGAGGTAAAGAAGAATTTGACAGAGTAAACACAAAAAATTAAGCATGTGTTACAACTGAGTGATTTAGGGACTAAGTTTTAACATAGAAAAATGCTATTGCATACATATTGGACCACAACCAGGATACAATAAGCAGTAAGTGCTTCCAAATTCAAATTATCAAAATTCAAAGAATAACAGGAATGCTAGGTCAAAGAACAAGTTAATAGAATCTTGTCCAATTAATATGGTCATCATATACTTTTTTATCAAATTAAATGTAAACTTTTAGTTATGTGGCAGAGCATAATTTTAACTGTTTACCAACCTCGTCTGAAAATAAAAAACTGACACGAGTGACTAAATCATCCCATGTTTCCTGCAGAGAAGGGCTTTTTGTTGCGGGATTAATGCCTAGCTGCAGCAAACAAATTAACATTACTAACCATATTGATAAAGAAAGAAAAGAAAAACACTTAGTCTTGGAAGCAATACTTTGATAATGTATCAATTCATTGAAACATGTTAAACCCTACATATATTAACATTTTGAAGATGTAGAACATGAAAAGCAGTTGCCTCCTAATTATGGTAACAAAACTCAAATATAACTAAAACTTTTATTTTCCATATCTGGCCAAAGACAAATCTCAGCGCAAGAGCCTAATTAGCTGCCAAAGCAGGACAACTGCTCATGCCTCATCATACATGAAAACATATATATGCAATTGACAAACAATCATATTGAATATAGACAAATCAAATGTCCAGATTAAGATGGGTGATGTCCAAGCAACATTGAACATTGAACAGAATTTCCATGCCTTTATGGAAAATCACCATTCATGGGAGTGGCAATAACTGCGACTACATCTGGATAGTCATCCAAATACTAGATTCTACAAAAGAAAACAAACCAACCTTCTCTAAGGCCAATTCAGCAGCAGATTGCTCAGCATCCTTCTTCTTTTTAAAAATTCCAGATACAACCGTAACTTCTGGAAGCTGCAAGGTACAGCAATAAAAGCAAGGGCCCTTCTGCATAATGGCCAACCCTGGACATCCATTTTGAGTGGACTCATGCACTTCCTCTACCTTATAGCAGGCTGAGCTACCAAATCTTTTGTGTACAATAGCCTTAGGTGTAAATGTAGTCATTCGTGCTGTTACAGTTGGGGCTCCTTCAGTAACTATCAGTATCCAAGAGGTCTTCAACTATAAGTTATTAAAAACACGTTTGATAGGATGCCCTTTACGCAATAAAAACATCAAGGTTACAACTCAGTAGGACATTTTAGTAATATTTTATAGGTAGAAACTGATACATAGGTTAGTGAGTCAGGCACACGCACGTGTAGATGAAATAGAGTGACTAAAATTGTTAGTTTGCCATTTTGTAACCACAACCACACTGGGGTAAATACTTGTCATTTGGGAAAATAGTTTTAAATTTTTTTCAATTTACCTTAGTGATCTCTGTCTTCCCTAGATTAAAAAAAAAGAAAAAAAAGAAAAAAGAAATCCACAGTTAAGAAATACAAGGGAGAAGCAAGTTATAAATGTTAATTTGACCAGTTCATTCAATGACAAGACTTCCAATTAGGTAACTATGACCACTGTTGTAAGAGAGGAATGAATAAGCTCCAACTTCTGAGCACAAATGCTAATAACAGACATGACAGCAAGAACAACAAAATCACATTGCATCATAACTATAATTGGTGTTAGGACCATGAAGTTCATATAATACCCACATTTTTTTTTGGTAACAAACAAAATAATTTTATCACCTTATCATAAAAACATGCACGAAGACAGTGAACAAGTGTGCTCTGAAGTTAGAGGAAAAAACCTTTTATATCCTGCTACAAAACAGCTAAAAATATATGCGATTGCATTGCAAAACAGCTAAAATGGACAAATCGTATTGGAATGAAAACCAATGGTTTCCAGACTTTGGAGGAACCTATAGCCCATAATTCTTAATACAAGACACTGTAATGATCCCTAAGAAAATAAAACACACCCTTCAATTGATGCCCATAAACCTCAACTCAGTATGCAATATCTGGCTCTTGCTTATCAGTCCTAAACAACCATCCTAACTATTTTAGTTTGAACAAGAAAGCAAAGAAAGAAAAGAGAAAACCCTTTGGATGAGTTCAACCTAAGTGATAAGTAGCCAAAAACAAATGGACAGATTAATTACAAGTCAATACATTTGAGTGAGCTTAAAAATGTTAATGCTGTCATTGTGAATGATCAACCTATCAAAACCGAAAACTTGACATTGAAAACAAACAAAATATATACAGATAATCTTTGAATTCATGAAAAAGAAAAAGCAAAAGAATTTCCGTCCTACATAATACATCTGCCGAAAATAAGGAAGCAGTTCATTTATTCTTTTCTTGTGTACCTCAACTTGGACAGTAACCCATCCAAGGGTAGCAAGTAAAACTTCCAAATTACAAAACAATAAGCCACCTTTTGATCACCAACGTTAAAATTCTCTTCATAATATCTAGTCGCTCGGTGATCATATAAGAAAGATCAGAAATTCAAGATTCTACATATGAATAATAAAAAAATTAAATAGCTTTCAGCTAACCAATATGACAAAGCAATGCGCAAAGCAAATGGAACAAAAACTGAGCAAGTGAAGTTATGGGTTTTAAAGCAAAAAGACTAACCAAGCAAATAAAACAGCAAATCAGCACAGAAAAGTTAGGAAACAGCTGGAATTCGTTCAAAAATTGAAGATAGAAAAGCAACCCAAACCCAGATAATCAATGGAATATTTATGACAAAGGCAAAAAAAGGTGAACAAAGCAATGGCAGACAAGAGAGGGCAAGATATGATCAAAGGAAGGAGCAAAGGCCGTACCTTTCTACATTAACATCGGCAATGGCTGAAAGAGAGGCAGAGATCAGAGAGAGCGAGAGAGAGTGTGTGCGTGCGCGCGCGCGAGAGAGTGAGGCTTTTGGGGTTCTACAGTGTGTTGTACTATAACCAAGAGTTTTGTGTGTTGGGGTTTTTGGGTTGGTAGAAACGGTATATAAAGAGAAAGGAGGGAAAGGTTTCGGAGGAAGAATATCAACATGAAACTTGTACATGCCTATATGGGGGCCCCACAGGGTCATCTTCTTCTGGTCGCTCATAGCTTCCTTGCTAAGGAGTGATGCCTTCTTTCAGTCATATTGACCCTTTTTTTTATTTTCTTTTTTTGTGGCTTTGGTGGATGTTCTTTCAATTTACTTAATTTCAGTTATGTTTTTTCATTTTTCGTAATGCGATAATTTAAACTATATACTAATTTATAGGAAGAAGATTCGAATTCATGTGTAAGGGAACTGTTACATCTTCTTAGTCAATTGGCATAATTTAAGTCTTTTTTTTTTCTTTTTTTTCTTATAAATAAGAAGGAGAGAAAGATTTTCTCACACACGCTATCAAAGTATTATGAAATTAGAATTTGAGAAGATTTGCCTACACGTCAATGTCTTTTTTATTGAGTTAGACCTGATTGGCCATAATCCAAGTCTATGAGCGGAAAGGCTATAATGAGGGCTTAAAGTGATGAGGTTATTTGAGGAGATCAAATCTCACCATCAACAAATGTAAAGAAATCATGGGACTTAAATATTTTAAATGTTTTGACGGTCGGATCGGTCTCCTCACTTTAACTCCTCATTGTAGAAGCTCCCGTCTATGAGTCCTATAATTTTGATTAGCACTATCCGGAAAGGCTATAATGAGGGCTTAAAGTGAGGAGGTTATTTGAGGAGGTCAAATCTCACCATCAACAAATGTAAAGAAATCATGAGACTTAAATATTTTAAATGTTTTGACGGTCGGATCGGTCTCCTCAAATAACCTCCTCACTTTAACTCCTCATTATAGAAGCTCCACAACACTATCTATCAAGTCTCCAAAATGTTTGAAGGCCCAAACACGGAAGACCCGCTTCCAGGCCTATTACATACCCATTTCCATAAACACCCTTACCCATTCTCTTTGAGCTCTCTGGTGCCTTTGTATTTTTCGTCGACTTCTTATCCTCACAAGGGTTATTTGTGTGAATTCTGTTTTTACACTATTTATCTCCTTGATCCAATTTTACATGTCGACACAAAATTTGTGGTACAAAAGACTTTATCCAATGCAACATTTGTATTTTCAAAGTGGGAAACAAGAATCTTCTTTTTTCTTTTCGGTAACAGAACAAAATCTGAAACATCAGGGGAATATATTCTTCTTCTTTTTAATGCATATGATTAGGTTTCAGAGTGGTTCTTCTTCCTTTTTTTGTCCCTTTTTTCGGGGGGAGATTAGTAGTTCAAGCACGGCATGTTATGAAGTAGGGATTGCCTATACAACAAGGGGCATGTCTTTGATTTGAAAGTTGAGAGGTTTTTCTGTCTTTTTTGAAAAAGCTTTGGCTTTTTCCAAAAGTGAAAATTTTCTTTTGGCTAAAACCTAAATTTACTTATTAATATATGCTTTGATATAAAGAGGGTTGAAATAAAAACACAATTAGGTTATGTTTTGGTATATGGATAATGGGCCTAAGCCCATAAGAGAACCTTGTTAAAATATCAGCCCACAAGTGAAACACAGCATTTCACTAACCCTATCTTCACCTTTTTTTGGACGAACCCTTATCCTCACTTACTCTCATCTCTCCGCCTCCATCGCCTCCCATCTCTCTCTACCTCCATCGTCTCTCCTCTTTCTCTGCCACCATCATCTCCTATTGCGCGCCTTTGAAATAAGATAAACCCAGCAGTAGCCAAAAAGAAAAAAAGAAAAATTGAAAGATACCTCTGACGAGTAGAGAAGAAGCCGTCGCTGCCACTGGTTGGGTCGAGAATAGTAAAGAACCAGCCACCCGACCTGCCCAGCCCCCCTAGGCGAGCGCCCTGGCGCTGCCTAACTCCCTGGCCCCTACCCCTAACGATTAGGATGAAATCGCGGCGGTGTCCTTCCGCCTAGCACCTAGGCGGCGCCTAGGCCGATTTTTCGAACACTAGTATACAATGGCAAACAAGACCACAACTTGAATAGTTTCAAGGGATGAAAACATCAATACTTGATTGGATTTCAACCAGCAGAAACAAATGACTAGCAGCACACAGACAACATGATATTTCAGTTTTCCAATATTTGGACATTTACAGACTAAGTCTCATTCTTGCCCGAGTAATAATGACGGAAAACGCACGAGAAGTCTTCGGTTTCATGACCATCCTCACAAAGCTCTGTATATCTGCACAACACGTCAGTTTAGTTTATGATAATTAGATATGAAAGTTATGCGAGCCACAGAAATGGGCTCAGGAAGAAAGAGGAAATGAATTACATCTCTTGTGCTTGGGATGTCAATGGGCATTTAAGGCCAACCTCTTTGGCTGATGTTGCACCAAGGTTTAGATCTTTAGCCTGCAATTTATAGAATACAATCGTCAGTTCTCATCTCAGTACCCTAAAAAATGTTTTTGAGGACTCGAAATTTCATGTAAGGCTCATAAGCAATGTGTTAAGGCCTGCAGAGATCAAAGCGAAAGAAAACTGCCCAATGGAGAGCATAACAAAAAGAAATTGCACCACTAGAGCATGTCTGACAAACAGGATCGAACTAACCATAAGTTTCGATGCGAACCCACCATCATAGTTCCTCGACGAGGGCACCCCTTCCATCACTCCAGGAACTGGATTATAACTATCACTGTGATCATGCATGCATGCCATGTTTTCAGTGTTACGTATAATAAACCAATTTGAAATACAAACCTTACCCAAATATGAGCCAAAGCCCGAAGATATTCCCCATATATTTGTGTGTGCAGGTATTTTTGGTAGAATGAGAGCATGATCCTTTCTCTAACTGTGTCATTGAATACTATTGAACATGGATCACAAGAGTAACCTTTATGTGACTACAAATATGCAAAAGTTCCCTAAGCTACAATGTACGGTGTATTTCAACAATACCTACTCCAACAGCGACCACTGGAAGAGTTGAGTACTCTTGTCAAAGTACTGGCGGAAATTCCCAGAGACTGGCCAAGGGCAAGAGATTCTGAGACACCAAGCATACTAATAGCCATTGCCAAATTATTGCAGATCTTTGCTGCCTACATAGCAAACAACTAAAGATGTCAAATACTCTGCAACAAATTAGTAGCATGAAAATTCTCAGAAAGCTGAAGATATAGTATTTTTGGTGCAGTAAAGACATGAGAACTTACTGAACCATTTCCCGGTCCACCACAAAAAACTGTGTTCTTGCCCATTGAAAGGAATAAAGATTTTGCAGCCAGATAAGCGTCCTCAGAGCCACCAACCTGCAGACATGCTATCTCTTGATCATGATTTATGACTCACAAGTTAGATATCACCACCCTAGGTACAATTCCTCCTCACCCTCTAAAAGCATATATCCTGTTTATGTGCATATGAAAACTAGGAATGGCAAGAAGAAAACAACACCTAGGAAATATATTGAACAGTAAATTAGTGTCTCTCATAAATGAAACTAGAAATCTAGATCAAGAAACTCAGCTTCTTTACTTCCATAAAGCCAAATAGGAAGGGAGCCTTCTGTCAAACTTAGTTTTGCAACCCTTTAACAATTTAATACTGAAGAAAAACCCCAACTTAGGGATGCATGTTTTTCTCTCTTCGAGATAACTACATCAGACTTACATCTACTGACTTTGGATGCCAAAACTGAAATTATACCATGAAGGTAAGAGTCCCAGCTTCTGCAGCAAGAACACCTCCAGATACAGGAGCATCCAACATGGCAGGCTTCTTCGCATAATCTACACAAAATAAAATATAACAAATCAGTTAGAAGAAAATTTATTTAAATACTTTTTTTTTTTAACAAATGAAGGGAAAAATTGCATTTTTCCACAACCTCAACCGTTTGATATTTAAAAAAATGAAATGGTAGATTGAGCAGAAACTGACAAACAGACAAATTAAATGACAGTCTACTATTGTACCTCTTTTCTCCTTTAAAGTACAGTTAGACACAGCAAGAGAAAGCTTTCTCGATGTTTGTGGATCGATAGTAGATGAATCTATTAATAACCGTGGTCGCAATTCCCCTCCATGAAGCAAGCCATTAGGTCCAGTATAAACATCATATACCTGCATTTGGGGAAACAAAGTTCACATTGAACAGTTTATTTGGAAGAAGAAAACCTCAAAATTGAAAACTACAATCTGAATCTTCACATATCCTATAAATCTTTGATGAAAATTTTAGCAACAGTTGAATTAAACTTTCCAGAATATAGAGCTTAATAAGTAAATGAATAAAACACCGATGAAAACATCAAAAGATGATTCCTTCGTGGCACTAAATTCAAGTTGGCTCTGACTATAGGCTTAGTAAATAATGGAAGACCATGAAAACTTAATTTTTTCAAAAAATGGAATCTATACCTATGAAGAGGATGACATAAACTAAGAAACTCACATGAGATGAGGAAGGCAGCATTGTGATTACAACATCACTAGCTTCTGCAACTTCTAAAGGGGTTTCTTTTGTTTCAACTCCCATGTCAGAGAACTTCTTCATAGCATTGCAGTTTCTAAAATCAAAATAAAAAATATGATGTGGCATCATTATTTTACATCAGATATGAACAGAGCAAACTTTTCAGGAACATAACTGCCTGATTCTAAATCACCATTAAAAACATGGTGATGCCCCTTTCTACATAAATAAGACTGGGATTAGCATTGCCTTAGATATTTGATACTTCTGATTACTCATCACTAAAAGATATGTATAATTGACTGAGATCCAGATAGTTTGTAAAAAAAGATATAAATACATTACATGTCATGAACAGCTACTCGGTATCCAGCCTTAATTAGATTATTTGCCATTCTGGATCCCATATTTCCCAGTCCTACAAACCCAACACTCTGCAATTCATCATTCAGACAATATTAATGTACAGGACTCACAAAAATCCACTATAACAGTAGATATCTGCAAAATGTTTCTGTGTTCTAAAACAAGTGATAACCTGACATCAGAAACAAAAGCAATGAACTAGTCCATAAAATTTTCAAAAACCCAACTGAGAATTGCTGCAAACAGGCTTAATTATGCACATGTAAATTTAATTTAAAGAACAGAATTTTGTTTCATCAATTTTCTCACAGACCCAGTTGAGAATTAACATAACACAACTCAAAGCAGCCTGAATAAGTGGGGTTTCAGTTTTTCAACTTATATCAAACACTTACAATTTTACATCAAACACTTCTTTTTCTGGGATCTTCATCTTCAAAGGTAAAAGCATCTACCATACCAGTTCCACTTGAAGATGAGAAAAATCAGAACTTTACCTCAAAATGAGACGTGGCTTGTTCTGAATAAAATCTGCGTATTGGAGACTGAAAATAAAGAGCGTTGATTGAGGAAAAGCATTTGGAAACATAATTCAGTGACCTCACTCTGTAGAAGATTGCCATGCTTAGCACTTGCAAACAATGACTCTGCTTAACAAATGAAATGATATAATACTAAAAACTACAATGCGTTGGTTTTGCTTGGAACGAAAAGACACTCAGAGAACAGAACACAAACATGGAATCTTTGTCATTTCTTTATTTATTTCTTATCTTAAAATCCACGTCATTGTATTTTTGTATCTCATGAATCATCTTTATCCAGTTGGCTTTTTCCTCCAAATTATTCGCTCACACATGGAATAAACTGATAAGCACTTGGAATTAGCTTCTTTTTTTCTTCTTTTATTGGTTTACCTCTGTTTTTCAGAAAAAATGACCTGCACCTGCTTGAATAGTTCAGCAGAAAAAGAAAAACGTTAACCCTCAACCTTTTTTATACGCAGGACAAAGTAGTAGAGCGTTTCTCTTCCTAGCGCTGAAAGAATTCTCGAGTTCGACTGCCCCAACCCATTGTTCAAAATTAAATATGGTACAAGGTGAAAAGCACAGGGCCATATTCAAAGAACACTGCTGCTTATGGTTTGCTTCAATAGTTTACCATGGTATGCGATGATACTTTGTTAGCCTGAGAATCATGCTCAGAAATATACCATAACCATAGCACAAATTACAACTCTTTCCAAACCCCCTTGCAAGGCCACTCTCTCCTGTCACATTCTTCATTAGGCACTTGCAAAGGGATGGTGTGGCTCGTCATGGAAGTGGAACAAAGTTTAAAAACAAAAATTACATCCTTTGAAATATGCTCCATTTACACAATGGTTAATTAGCTGATCACACTAGAACACCAAAGGATACAAAAGGGAGGCCAATGAGATATTAAATTCCCTCCCAAAAAGGAAAAAGTTCAAATAAGTTAATTCAAAACCTAACTATATGGAGGAGAGATCCTCATATATAGTCTTAATACCTGGCCTCTCAGAAACAGACCGTATACATCGTAAAGATATACCAAGGACCTCCTTCATTCCCTTCTCTGCTGCTGGCATTCCCATTTCTGGCACCAATGTAGCATCAAAACAATCAGAGCCACGGCCTTCTGCTACCCTCAACCGAACCCAATCTGTCAAATCAACCCCACCTGCTTCACCTGAAATCACATCGCCAGCACACCTTCCAGTTAAAAGTTCCAACAGTATCACTCCAAAGGCATAAACATCAGACTTGAAGGAGGGAAGCGGCTTCTTGGAAGAAGCCAACTCTGGTGCACGGTAACCTAGCACACCAGCATCAAGAATCTGTTCAATGGTGCCAGCTTGGGTCATGAGGCGGTGGAGGCAGTAATCAGCAACACGGGCATTCAGCTCAGGCCCGTCCAACAAAATATTTGTTGCTTTAAGGTTACCGTGCGGAACAGCACGATCAAAATGGAGATAGTTCAGGCCACGTGCAACATCAACTGCAATTTTGAGCCGTTGGACCCAGGTCAATGGAGGGCCCTTTCTTCCTGGCCGGTCTGAAAATAATTTAGGCTCATCAGAAATGCAAAGTGAAGGTTACACATACATGAACACACATAGAGATATATACTTTATATATATACACACATACATGTACATATGGGGAGAGAGAGATGAATGAAGTAGGGGAAAAGAAATTTCTTCAACGATCAAGAGAGAGGATAAAGATCATAATACAAGTCATGCACTATATTTCCCCAGTTTCATTTTGATGAGTAACAAAAGATAAAAGCAAGATAAATAGGTTGACGAGGCTAACAGAAAACAGCTTACCGTAAAGAAAGCTTGCAAGACTTCCAGGTGAGATATAATCTGAAAGAATGAGCTTCTCATGCTGTGTGGGGCCCCAATAGTACCCTCTCAAACCTACAACATTTGGATGCCTCATATTTGCAAATTTTTTAGCCTCCTTCGCAAACTCCTTTTTCTGTTTTGCCACCCCTTCTCTCAACCACTTAACTGTCAAGAACAGCCCATTATCAAGTGTTGCTTTATAAGAAGTTCCATGGCTACTTCTCCCCAGAACTTCAGCGGGGGCCCTTGACAGCTCCTCAGGGGTTAATGCAATTGTATCATCAAGAAAATGCAGCTCACCAACCAATCTATCTGGCGACCTCACATCCAGTCTTGCAAGGTTTTCTGCAGTGAATGACTCTCCAGATTCTGGTGACCAAGAATAATGGCTGTGCTTTGCAGGGGAGAAGCCAGTTACAGACGCAACTTTTTTGTCAGGGCTGACAATTTCAGATGATGATCCTTTTTGTGAAGCCACAAGATCCTCAGCTGAAACAACCAAACCACCACCATTGTCAGTTCCACGTACACCAGATGGGTTTGGTGGAGCGCGTCTGTGGATGTCTTTGGTTGTAGTATGCTCTGATGGGATTCTTCTTGACATGCGAATGTAGTGTATGAAGATAGCAAGCAAAAGAAGAATGAAGACAGCAACCACACATGAAACTATAATAATTACTTTGACAATTGTGTTGATCGGTTTCCTCTTCGAATTTTCAGTTGGGGAACTGGTCGATCCAGGAGGACCATTTGGAAAATGCAAACGTGTATTCCCCGGATAGAAGGAAGAACTTGGAAACTTTTTCAAATTGTCTGGGACATCTCCAGAAAGATCATTGTATGAAGCATTAAAGCTTTCAAGACTGTTGGGGAAGTTATTTGGCAAAGGACCTGTAAAATGATTCTGCGATATGTCTAATGAGCTTAATGTGGTCATGTCAGTGATGGACGTCGGCAGAGAGCCAGAAAAATTATTTCTCGCCATATTAAGCTCTTTAAGTCCCTTCAATGAACCAAAATGATCAGGAAAATAGCCACTAAGCTGGTTCTGAGAAAGATCAAGAACCTGAAGATTTGACTCACTTGACAAAGGAGATGAAATGTTAATAGAGCCAGTAAGTAAATTATTATGAAGGTGGAGTTCTTGCAAAGTGGGCATTGCTAGCAACTCAGCTAGAACGGTTCCATCTAACTGATTAGAACTGAGATCAAGGACACTAATCTTTGGATACTGTGTTATAACACTTGCTATGGAACCACTAAGAGCATTATGGGAGAGATTGAGATAATTTAAACGCAGAAATTGTGGGGTCACATCAGGAATGGGCCCTGTCAAATGATTTTGACTCAGATCAAGAAATTCAATGTTCCCCCATTTCACCATCCTGGTTAAGTTTCCTTCGAATTTGTTATCTGATAGATCAAGTACAGCACAACTTCCAGTCAGCAATGGCAACTCACCAGTAAGCCCATTTGAGGAGAGATTGAGGATTCGCAGATTTGTTGATGTAATCATATTTACTGGTCCTGAGAGATGAACTTCAATGAGAGAGGCATACTAAAACACACTAAGCACAAAAGACTAAAGTAAAAGAAGCCACAAAGACACTTTCGTAACCAAATACACCAAGGCAAAATGTAGTAAGTAAAAGTACCTGAGAGATTGTTGCCACTCAAATCTAGTTCACTTAAAACTAGAGAATCTCCTTTTAATACACCATTAGGAATATCTCCAGTAAATCTGTTGTTGCTGAGTTTGAGGACTTGGAGGTCATAGACAAAATTAAATCCAGGCAATTCCCCTGACAGCTGGTTGTAGCTGAGATCCAACACTTTCAAGTTTTCAAACATCTGTAGCTCACCCCCACTTACCAGTGACCCAGTGAGCTGGTTGTGGCTAAGATTCAAGTACTTAATAGTCTCAGAAAGACGAGGTAGAAATTTCTGCTGCTGTGAACTAGAACTAGAAAACATATTGCCACTAAAATCCACATGAGTGGCACTTGATAGCATAAAAAATCCCACATCGATATGACCATCGAGCATATTCCCATGCAAGTCAAGCACATCAAGACTTGAAATTAGTTCAAACCCCTTGGGTATTCTCTTGGTAAATTCATTTAAAGACAGATTTAGAGATACCAGATTAGACAGCTTTGTCAACGATGTCGGAAGTGGGCCGGACAAGGAGTTGCGACTCAAGTCCAATGACTGAACTGAGGAAAGCCCTGAAATCGAATCTGGAATAGAGCCCGAGAAGTTGTTACCACCTAATGAGAGGTTCCTTAAGCTCCCTAACCTACCAATTCCAGGTGGTAAAGATGAAGAAAATAAATTATTGGAGAGATCAAGAAACTCAAGGCTTTTGAAGTCGGCTATGTTGTGGGGAATCTTCCCCATTATCGTATTATTGGACATGGAAAGTTTCACCAGCTTTGTTAGATTCGAAAACACGCTCAAGTCCACATCCGCGGAGAGACTCAAATTATCAAGGACAACTCCAGCAACATTTCCACCATTACATACGACTCCATTCCAAGAAGAAGGACAGCCATCAAAGTCAATGGATTCATCATTCCACGAATTGAGGACATAACCAGTGGGATCATGCTTGATACCCTTCTTGAACTGAAGCAGAGCCAAAATATCTTGTGAAGGGAGCTGCCCCATGGCAGAAATAAGAAGAAGGGACAGCACTAAAAGCCGACGGAGCATAGTTGGCCTATCAATGGCTTCACCCAATGGAAACAAAAGCTCAATGTTAGAACAAAAATGAAACTTTAAGCTCTATAACCAACAAATTCAAGCAGGCACGACAATATTCCCAGGGCCAACTACAGTATGATACAGAACCCTGCAATGCTTCCTTTCATTTCAAGATAATGAGAAATAGCTATCTATGTTCTGAAGGAAAGGGGTATTTTGAGCTCACAAATCCAGAGAGTGAAAGAAATCCAACTATTTTGCTAACTATTTTGCAATAAAACAATGGTCATGCCACACCTATCAATGAACACCATGAGTGATCAACAGTTCAGAAAGCAAACAATGAGTTGGAATCACACATGCAACCAGAACACAGCATTTTATCAAAATAACACCTTTTCCTAAGAACGAACCAAATCTTTAAAGTTCAGAGCTTCAAGAACCGATTCTCCTCTCCGAAGAAAAACAAAAATGATTTCAACGATACAGCACAGCTTCAGACTACACAGACTCAAAGCAGTAAATGACAGAAATAAACAACTCAAGCTGAGTCACCTTTAAAGATCTAACAACATCTTCCTACTACGACCCCATTTTTAGGAACAATGTGGCCCCGTACAAACTAACCCTCTAGAAAGACTCAAGCTTTGAAACAAACCACACTCTGAAACGGCTACAAAATTACACACGGGGATAGTGTAACCTTACCTCCTCCACATTGCTTCACAGTGCTCAGCACAATCAGCTACAACAAACCCATGAACAAACTAGAAGTCGGCTTCAAATTGCAAATCAGGCTGCATTAAGGAAAGGGACCCAGGAGAATTTTTAACCACAAAAACCCTTAAAAAAGTACCTTTGGCTTCTTAACAGTCCAAAAACCTTCTCTTTCTTTAATGAAAGTTAAAACAAAAACCTTTAGAAAGGCAATACCTTTGCACTCCTCTTTCTCTTTGCACTTTAAGACGGGGCATGTGGAGACACTATAGAAAAAACCAAATGGTTCTGCTTTGGGTAATTAAACAAAAAAACCTAGCTTTGTACCTTTCTTACTTCTTTTTAATGGTAGAATTGAGAAAGTAAGCGGGAAAATGCAAGGGGTTTTTAGGGAGTAATTTAGGGGCTCACCCGCCAAAACAGAGGACAGAATCTCTCACTTTCCTAGTGGACGCCAAAGAATTTATTAAATCCAGTTTAAGATTTTCACTTTTTGGGGACTTAAAAAAAGTCTGAGGAAAGAGGCATGGAGGGTTGTGTGGACAGTGCCATGTAGGACTGAGGGGGGCTCCACCACTGCCCCCTTGACCAGGTTCTTCACTTCATTCAAGTTCCAATATGACCCAAGAGGTGGAGTAGGTGGATGCATAATGATATGGTGTGGCAATAGGACCCAGAGGCATACCAGCAGGACCTTTCTGATAATGACACGTAGAAAGGCAACCCACTTCCCACAAATCATTTGACATTTTCTTTTTGGAGCAGAAAAGCAAATTGACATTACATGAGTATATAGTCCCCTTCTCGTGAGTGCAACCTACAGTTTTTGTTGTGTGACTTGTTGGTATCGAGAGGACCACAAGAAAAGGAGATGGGCAATTGTGGTCCCCACATGAAGACTGCATTGTCTTCTGTTGGGACAATGCCAAAACCATTGACAGTGCTCTGGTTTTATTAGACCAGTTGAAATCAGAGATGAAATTATTATGTGGTATAATCCAAACCCAACTACAAAATTTTAACTCAACGTGCTCATTGTCTTTCTCTTTCTTCCCCCTAAGCAACAAGTATGTTGTTGTGTTTGCTTTTCAACATCTGCAATTCAAAGTTTGACAAGGTATCTTTTACCAAAGTAAATATGACGATGCGGTAAGGGTATGGCCAAACCAAAAGGGCTGAGAAGAGCCAGGAACCACCCAAAATAAAAAATCAACCCGCTATAGTGTTGGGCTCAATGCTCGATAGTGCAAACTTTATCGTTGGTAAGTTTTAGTGCTAAGTTTGGAACCAATAACAACTTGAACCTTTTTCATTTAATAATTAAAATGCCCCCTTTTTTTAAATGATTTACTGGGTAGGGAGAAATGGGAGGGGAGTGGAGGGATAAATAGTAGGAGATCGGGCAGAGGTAGGTTGAGGCTGCCGGTGGGTGGCCCCGCATAAGAGTCTGGATGAGAAGAGAGAGAGAAGATGGATTTTTTCCGGCTGAGATAAGACTTGGAACTGCACCATTATAACATGTCCTTTTAACTTTTGGCTGAAGTAGCATTTGGTGGAGTGTAAAGGGATAGATTCTCTTAGGTTAAATCTTAATGTAAAAGGTTCGTACAGAAAAGGTCTTAAGAGAAAGAAAAAGATAAAAACTTTACCTTAATAAGGGGGAGAATCAAAGGAAATTCAAATTAGAATATGGATGAAGAAAATTCAGATAAACGCGTTATGCTTTGTATCATCCATTCACTCTCCATAAGCCTACAATCACAACTTCCAAAATATATCGAAGAGTGGCAACCGAACTAGATGAACAAAAATTTGGCCAGGAAATACAATAACATGTTACAGGTAATTCATCATTTCACGATGCAAGTATACAATCATATGATCCATCTCCAAATGCTCTCTCTGAATCAACAAATTGATATATGCCATGCTGGAGAGGTCTAACTATCTCACTTCTTGCCACCCCCCGAAACATTAAACTTGAAAAATATCACATCTGCATCTTGGACCACGTATGTCTTCCCCTCCTGTCTGTACTTACCAGCAGCCTGCGAAGAATTGAAAGAGCATGAAATAAATTAGGATGTTAAACCCATTATAGTTCCTCATAGAATAGAGCAAATAGGTGATGAAACATCAGAGGGCCCTCTTCGGAACCTATTATTCTAAAATTCAAAGCTATTGACACTAAAAGCCTCTGGGTGAATTCCATAAAAAAACTTATGAAGGCATCTGAATTTCCAATCAATACATCTTTTCAAAACTCATTAGTCCTTTCTTTTTCCAGTTCATTATATACTGTAAACAAAATACAATATTTCATTTCTCTTCATATGCTAGATAGTACCCTTTCTAGTCTGATGTAGCTTCTACTCTCATACTGACCAGGAAAGGTTTGTAAGAGGTGAACCTCAATTATACAAGGAATCTGGAGCAAGTAACATTTAATGACTTGTGTTAGTCCTATTCTTGATACTTGAAATTGGAAATATCCGAGTCCCTAAACAATTGGGGAGTGGGGCCGCAGACAAAAAGCAAGAAACTAAGAAAATTCGATTTTAGCCTTCTACTCATGTATGATTCTGCCAAATGAAGGGGGTAAAAAAACCCAAAACCAATTATTCTGTAGATTGGTATCTTGGTAAGAAGCATCATAATCTTACTGATTCCATGATCTCGTCAGTCCTACCAAATCCAAATACTGGGTGATTTTTAGGACAGTGTGAAAAGGCCATCTAAGGGTCTAGGAACACAATCCTACGCTTTGGATCATGATCTAAAAGACCATGTCATGGAAGCAATGATATGATCAAAAAATAGTTTTAAAGCATATATATTACATTGGTCGGAACATATCCCATACCTTAACAGCCGGCTCACTACCTAGTTCCTTCAGATCTTCAAATTTCATCACCTGTAAATTTAAAAACAGGCAGGAGCGCTTTAGTGATTATAGCAGAGAAGCAACTGTATAACGGTTATAGCAGACAGGACAGGATGTGGTGGTCCCTACAACAAGATCACGATGATAGAAAGAATAGTTTGTTGATGCATTAGGCCCATATTTCAGAAAAGAAACAAAAGAAAGGGCAACGGGAAGGTGATAGCTCTTCAGTAGCAAGAAGGAAAAGAAAGGAACAATCTTTAACTTTTTTTTCTTCGAATTCTTTTTCTAAGCATAATTTTGAATAGGAAAGACATTCACAAATGAAATTTCTTGTCTCTGTAAATAGTATATTGGAATTAGAACTAGTAAAGATATTACTAAAGAAGAATTATTTTCAGACAAGATTGAATATATGAGGTAGGAACAACCTCAGCACAAATAAACCCTTTCTCGAAATCAGTATGGATGGCCCCTGCAGCTTGAGGAGCTTTTGTCTGCCGCCTAATTTGCCAGCACTTCACCTGCCAATGGTATTAGTAGTTGGTAGACTCAGACCAAGTACATAAAACTAAGGCTGTGTTGGAGCATGCTGATGACACCAAAAGAAATTACTTACCTTTTTGGTGATGCTATCAATTTACTACCTCAATTATGACATTTAATTCTTAAAATTTTCATACAAATTATAATATAAACAAATTTTGCGCCAAAAAAAAAGACATTAATTAAAAAGAATGGTAATGAGGACAAATATTATAATATTTTACCTCATCAGGGCCAGCAGTGAAAAAGTATATGAGATTAATCGCTGAAAATCCAGTCTTTATGATCTTGGTAAGGGCACTGTAGCAGATTTGATCCAGTCAGCATAGAGCATAGACATTTGATATTACATGCATATCTAGTCTGTTCCTACATTGCAAAACTCTAAGGGCTTATTTCCAATATAGATTAGGCAGTAAGGGACTCCAGCTACAATGACCAATCTGATTTTGGTAGTACCAACGTATACAGGTTACTCATGATTCAGGACAATAGTAACCAGTCTGTGGTTTAACCCACTGTAAAAGATTGCCAATGACCCCCATGACAAGCTCATATTTATATATATTTTACATCAAATTCACTTGTCTTTTCTTAGGTAGTTCCTTATATTTTTGAGCTATTTACTCTGTTTTTGTGTTTTGTAGGATCTGTCAAGCAAAGAAAAGAAAAATAGCACAAGTGGGCTTTTAAGTCACAAATTCGTCAAAACTGCCTGTGCAGGTGAGCTGACTTTGGAAGCAAGTTGCGAACAGCTCAGAATGAATTAGAGAACGTGCCATATATGCTTGGAAAGCTACAGATGTCTATTCTCTGGAGCATTTCGTGGATTGTTCATATCATTTTTCTAGAAGCAGTAATGACCGTTTTAACACTGAAAGGTTCACAAGAGGCTGAGCAGTTTGTAACTGCAATGAAAGCAATAAACCCAATAAACGTGACAGCCAAAACGGATGCTGAAAAAACAAGCCAGTGGAAACCTATTCAAATATCTGAGGAAATGGAATTAAAGATGGGGATTAGGTGGGAGTAATTGGCTTAAAGGCCACCCAAAGAGTTACAATTGTTTTACCATTTTCTCTCACTTATTGTCATCAATAAATAGCTATTAGTGGAATAAGTTTTGGGG